CAGCGGGGTTCTGTTGCTACCTTTTGTTGACATGCAGCTTGGGAGAGGATACCTGGCCCATTTCTCCCTCAGGTGGGCAGGTATTAACCATCTAGGAGTACTCAAAGCTCATGAGAGATTGTGGCTGATCCTGTTGGTTGGCAAGAGGGCCGCTTCCTCCCCTCTCCTCCATTGCCCCCAGGGCCTCAGGGTCTCAGCTCCTAAACCAAGTAGGAATTTCCTCCAGAATAAAAACAGGCTTCAGCATTTTTTTTTTAACTTAAAAACCTAACTTTGATAGAGATCTTCAATATGCTAAGTACTTTTCTAAGAATTTTACATGTATCCTCTTGCTTAACGCTTAGAACATGCCATGCAGGTAGGCACTATTATCACTTGCGCTTTACAGAGAGAGAAACTGAGCTCTGTTTTAAGCATTTTACGTGTGTCAGACCCTATACATCAGACAATCCTGTGCAACCGCGGATCTGAGGCTGGTGAGATGAGGAAGCAGGCACCAGGCACTTTGTTTACTTCCATTCCCAGAAACAACCATGGCTCTGTACTGGCAGTGACAGAGTGACAGACAAGTGTCCACAGGGCAAAAGGCAACTTTCCTACCTGACCAGTCAGTGGAGTAATTTGGGGTGTTGTTTCTGGGTAGCTGGCTTCCAAACTATTTTCTTGCCCTCCTGGAGAACATATAAGCTCTTGATATTCTTTAGAAAATGTATGGTCAGCCCAAGGTGCATTCTGTTGTTGCAGCTGAGGTCACTGGCTGATACAATACATAAAGAGTCTGGTATAATAAATGTTAGTTTTCTCTTCTTTGCAGGTCTGCATTTTGCATCAAGCCTTTAAATGTTGTTTCATATGTATGTCACTTAATAAGAATCATACATTTCTCTATGTCATGAAATTAGATCCTGGGAGGTCTCAAGGTGAGTTTCTTAATGGAGGACAAGGGTGTGTGATCATGTGATCCTCAAATCTGAGACCCTTCCTGGGAAGCAAAAATACTCTCCCTTCTTTGATGCCTGCAGGGAAAAAGAGGAGTAAGTGAGGACTCTCTAGTCTTCAACAGACTGCAGTTTTGGACTTTTTTCGTCATCTATTCCCACCTCCTTCATCATGAGACACATGCAAGAAGATGACCCATCCTCTCACCAGCTGCCTAAACTCACTCCACACTGGGGTGCAGGTAGGTGGGAGGTCCAGTGTATCACCAGCTTAACATGTCCCTTAATTCTTTCTTCAAGCCTAGACACAACCATTTTTACAAGAATGGTTCCACAAGGTTATTTATTATTCTTTCATTATTTGTGTAATTCATTTTTGCCTGTTATAATGTATTCCAAACTAGAGATACATGGATGTCAATGAAGTTGCCCAATGGGTCACCTAGCTCTTAACTCTATGGTTTTCACTACCTTGTGCAATTTGCATTCTGATCAGAGGATGAGAATGGCCATGTGTACCTATGTGAATTAGGTTCAAGGATAAATGTTCCATCAGGAAAAGTTCAAAGCATTCTGTGTTCTGTGTATGGGAGCTGAGGGCCAGCTAACACTGACTCCAAGGGCAGCACCCAGCTACTGAACTCTTGATGGGTTGTTTGAGAAATATGTTAAAATCATGACTCTCAGTGTGTAAATAAAGTATTTATTATTTAAGAAAAAAAACTGAGAAAAGTGTCTGGGTTATCACTGCATTTATAGAATGCTATTTACAGGTATGTAATATTCTAAGTGCACTTTAACATTTTACATTACAAAATTTTTATTTGTCATACATAAAAATCATCCATTGCATCTAACTAATTGCCTTTTAAATATCCACAGATACAGGGCCGGCCCCGTGGCGCACTCGGGAGAGTGCGGCGCTGGGAGCACAGCGATGCTCCCGCCGCGAGTTCGGATCCTATATAGGACTGGCTGGTGCGCTCACTGGCTGAGCGCGGTGCGGGCGACACCACACCAAGGGTTGCGATCCCCTTACTGGTCACGAAAAAGGTAAAAATATATATATATATATATATATATATATA